TATCCCACCAAGTATGGTGGGCCTCCTCCAATCTTGGTGAAAACATTTTGGGAACGTTCCCATGTGAGACCCCCAAAAGGCGTGAATCTCACTGTATGGTGAGCTTGATCCCAAACACAGTTTCCTGCTTGAGGCAGTCGAGCTACGGAAAAGAAGGAACTGAAAGATGGATGATCAGTTTCTACTATTAACCATGATGACGTTTGGGCCTAAACTAAGTGGTTCTGCTAGATTGAGTGGCTCCATACCAGCAAGCAGTTTCTGCTTTTAACTTTTATGACTCTTTAAGAATAGCTTTAACCTTTTCTTTACTTGCATGACTGCCTTGAACCCTAGATAATGGTTTAACAACTTAGCTTGTGACTTTCTGATATTGTTATCTGAACGGAGACCCCTTCTGGAAAAATAGATAAAACACACCACCTGGTCACTTTTATGAGCTGTGATCATAAACCCCCTGCACAACAAAATGTACTTGTGACTTTTTGATTTTGTAACTTTCTGTCCCCTTTTATTGTTCTTCGCATACTGTGAGGATGATGTCATTTACTTTGATCTTAAGATATATAATGAGACCCTGGACAAGAATAAACTTGCTGTTTAGGCACTGCCTATTCAGTCCTCCAGACCCTGTCTGTCTGTCTCTCTTTTCTTCCGTGTACTCTCTCTTCCAGTTATTGGGACCCTCTTGCAGGTCGGGAGATCCCCGGCAGACGTGCCATCCTGACTGTCCCCGACAAAACACTTATATTTGAGTGTTCCACTCCAAATGCATTTAGCAGGTAGATCCCAAATCTACCACCTATAAGTGGAGCCTTGAGCAAGCCATTCTCTGGATGGTCCACGCTGCAGCATGATTCTGGCAACTCTGCCCCTTGCAACCCTGCAGAGCTCACTGTCTGCGGCAGATCCAAGTCCTACTTGGAACTTGAGCCAAGGATCTAGAGACCCTGATGTTTTGAGCAAGGCCATGTCCATCAAGTTAACTATCAAGGGTTCTGCAGAGATCAGGCATTCTACTGTAGGACATTGCACGACTCTGCAACCTGGAATGGATGGGATCTGAGAGGCTACCTGTGCACCTGGCTGCGCTCTGTGTTTCACTAGAAGCAGGTACAGATGGCACTGGGTTTCAGTTAACCCTGAAGGTACCAGTAAGCTGCCTACTGGTGCCTACACCAAGACAGCTTTGAGTAGAGAACAAAAACGCTGAAACTTGCTTTCCAGGTGGCTCTGCATGACATAATGGCATCAGCAGACAGTGAATGCTGAGTTCCAGCCCCATGCAGGACAGCAGCGGAATCAGCCCAAAGACAGAGCTTCAAGGTGTTAACGTGTCCTCCGTCTGGACAGATGGCTTATGTCTGGATCCTGGTATAGGGGCCTTGGAAAGAATAAAACTGGAAGATGGAGACAAAGAGGTCCATGGAGGAGTATGTTACATAAAACCGAACTTCCTAACAGGCCTCTGTGCCACAGATGGCTTATGTCTGGATCCTGGTATAGGGGCCTTGGAAAGAATAAAACTGGAAGATGGAGACAAAGAGGTCCATGGAGGAGTATGTTACATAAAACCGGCCTCTGTGCCACATCATCAAAGGCTTCAATTGCAGGCGGCCAGACAGCCCACTCGTCAAACCACTGCCCACACGTGCCCATCAGGTCTCACTCCAGATGCCATGCACCTGAAAGCAGGGATGCTACTGTGCTCTGGCCAGAGTTGGGGCCAGGGAGATGAGCTATTCCCAGCCTGAGGAGGGAGGCCAGGGCTCCGAGGAGGGTTGGGTGCCAGGCACCACCTCTGCTTGCACCTTAATACCTGCTTCCTCACCTGCAACAAGAGTTGCCCATACACCCTAAAAGGTTTTCATTTCTTAGATGTCCTCAGGCTTTCCCTGCAAGGTGGGAGTCATGGAGGGAAGCTGGAGTTCACATGCATGGCAGCAAAGGGAAGCTGCTCTCGTTAAGAAACATTTCCTCCAGCTCATCCCAGACACTGCTTGAGGACGTGTATCTGAACAAGGACTGCAGATCTATATACTCACTTCGTCATCACAGGTATTCCTGGTACCCACAGAGTTTGGTCCAAGTGCTTGCCAAGCCACACTAACCTCATAAAGTCTTGGTCCACCAGGTCTCCCCTGCCAGCAGCAATCTGCTGGGTGGCCGAAGGATGCTGGTGATGCCAGGGCACATGTAAATCACTGAGGCCATGGGTGGAGAGAGCCACTCTTAAGTGATCTCCCTGCTTTTAAGTTGCACAACCTGCCAATCCTAGCTTTGAATATTTAACCTTCCATGACTTCATCACCTGTAAGGCAAAATACAACCTCTTTGTGGAACTCAGAAGAAACAGGGTCTCCCCTTTGCCTTCTGGGTCTTGAATATACCATACTCTGGCCCCCAAAGCCCAGGACAGAACAGAGGCAGGCCCCTGGCCAGTGGTTAGCTTGTGGCCCAGGTCCTGGGTGACCTCTGCTACAGGCTAGAGCCCTAAAGCTCCAGATGAGAGATCACTACTCTTTTCCTGTAAAAAGTTAAATATCTTAGGCTTTGCAATCCATATGGTCTCTGTGCAACTAGTCATCTTTGCCACCGTAGTGAAGAGAAGTCAATGAATGGGTGTGGCTGTGTTCCAACAAAACTTTATTTACAAAACCAGGAAGCAGGCATGTTTGCCCCTCAGATGTAATTTGCCCATCACTACCCTTAATGATATTCAGATGGCTTGGCTGCCTGAGGGGGTTGTGGCCCTGTCTGATCTTCTGTGAGATGGAAACCACTCCAGAGTCTCCTGCTGTGCTGACCCTCAACAGGCAGGGCACTGTGTTTGGGTTTCTGACAAATGATGACAGCAGAGGGCCGAATGTGAAGGCTGTGCTGGAAAAGGCTGAGCCTTCCTCATAAGCAGCACGGACTGCTTTATTCCAGGTCAGGCCCAACTCTGCCACCGCGCCACACACATGGTCCCTGGGTGGGCACTGTCCTTACTGGGTCCCTAGGAACCCCTGGGTTGTGGCCTGACCACCATCCCCTCTCTGGTGATGGCCCAGTTGTAGCTCTTCGGGGAGTCCAATGCCGCTTCCACACGTGCCTCCAGGTTCTCTGGGGTGATGAAGTTTTTCGCCTCCTCCTATCAGGAGAGAAAAGCCCAGCTGAACAGGAGCTCCAGGCACGTGCCAGCCAGCCCACCCAGCCTGCTGGCCTCTCAGGGAACCACTGAGACAGCATTTCCTGCTCCCCCTGGGGAAGCACGCCTGGAGCAGCAGGTCCCCTTTGAGAGCCCCACTGGCCTGGCAGTGGAGTAACATCAGGTGGTTTTGCCACGTTCCTCTTTTCGCAGACACTTCAGCCGGAACCCGGAGCGCCAGCTATGGATCTCACGTCCCTCCACTGAGGCACGTGAGGTCCCCTCTAAATCACTCTAACTCATCCTTGCCCCTCTATTACTTTATTTGCTTATTTTTTTATCTTGAGCCGGAGTCTCACTGTCGCCCAGGCTGGAGTGCAGTGGTGCGATCTTGGCTCACTGCAACCTCCGCTTCCTGGGTTCAAGCGATTCTGGTCCCTCAGACTCCCAAGTAGCTGGGATTACGGGCATGCACCACCGCGCCTGGCTACTTTTTGTATTTTTAGTAGAGACAGGGTTTCACTATGTTGGCCAGGCTGGTCTCGAACTCCTGACCTCGAGTGATCCGCCTGCCTAGGCCTCCCATAGTACATGGTACTAGGATTGCAGGTGTTAGCCACCGCGCCCAGCTACCCCTCTGTTACTTTAAATCAAGCCTCATCCATTCTCACTGCATAACTGGTAGGTGGTCTCCCTGCTTTGAAGTCGCACACCTGCTAATCCTGGCCTGAAATATGTAACCCTTCATGGCTTCATCACGTTAGGCAAAATGCAACCTCTTTGTGGAACGCAGGGTCCCTCCCACAGACCTGCTAAGCACGTGAACAATGTCCAATTTCTCTGCTCACCTCCGGGTCTTTGCGGCTGACTGACATTCTCCTCTCCCAAATCCTGACATGCCAACTCTAAGTCTCCTCACATGGCCAGCGCCCGTGTCGCGGTGCCCAGAATTCCCAGTGCCCTGCAAGCCGCGTCCCCAGCTCGAGCCCCACTCCCCGGAGGCGTTGCCCACCTGCAGCTGCAGCACTTCCCGCTCCTTGAGCTGCGCCCAGGTCCGCGCCTCTTCGGCCTTGCGGGCCTGCTCCTCGGCCTGCCGCTGCTCCTGTTCCCGCGCCTCCTGCCGCAGCCTCGCTATCCTGCGAGGGGCAAGGGACCGAGGCTAAGCAGGGCCTGGACCTCTCCCAGGCCTGTCAGGCTGCCCCGCCCAGCTTCCCGCCCCACGCACCGTAGCTCATGCAGCCGCCGGTTTTCCGCCTGGTTCCAGGCCATCAGCTCGCGGTGCTCGGCGGCTTCCTCCATGGCCTTGCGCTCCGCCAGGACCCCGGCTCTGGCTTCGTGCGCCTTCCTCCGCACCTCGGACCCGAACTCCATCCTAGGTGCAGACGCGCCGGGAGTTGGCACCCTTTCCACACACCCCCCCCCCCCCCCACCGTCCCCAGCGTGCGCGGACGGCCACCTCCCCCCGGCCGCACACCTGAGGGCGTGCACGGTCTGGCGGTAGTGCTGGTAACGCTCCATTAGCACGAAGAACTCCGCAGGATCCACCGCGGGCGGCATGTTCACGCGCCCGATCTTGGATTTGGCCGGTGGGTCGTGGCGGGTCTTGCGGCCGCGCGCGGGCAGCACCAGCGGGGCCCCGGGCCCGCACGGGGCCCGAGCGCCCAGGCGGCTCAGCGCGCTTAGCATGACCGAGTCCTCTCACCGCGGCCGCGCTGCGAGGACGCCGCCGTGCCCCGGAAGTGGCGCGGGGCACCTTGGGACCTGTAGTCCTCCGGCTGCCCCTCATGCCCCGCCCGGCCGTGTGGCCTCTGGAGCCCGCGTGGCGACCCTGCGGCCGTCCGCACCCCGCCCCCGGGCTCTGGCCCGGCTCTCCCGGCAGGGCCCTGGGCCATCCGGTCGTTCCTCCCACCCGCGGGGCCGGGCCCGCGTCTCTCCAACGCTCACGCGGGGAACGGTCTTAGCGGGGAGGAGAGGGAGGGGATGGACAGAACTCGAGGGAACAGCTTCAGAGACTTCACACTTTATTGGAGGACAGCGGGGCGGGGCGGGGCTCTCGGGCTGCTGTCTGCAGAGGAAGAGGTGGCGGTCATGCCTCGGGACACTGGTCTCGTGACCGCCGAGCTACCACCTTCCTGGTCCCCTTCCCTCTCCATACCCCAATTCCTATCTGGCTTCCCAGAGCAGACGCGCCCCTTGCCTCCTCTAGACGCCTGAGGATCCAGGGTTGGGATCTCCAGCGACCTTGTCCACCCTAAACGAGCCTGACGCATGGAAACCCGAGCCCATACACACAAATCAGGCAGTAAGACTGCCTCATGGGAACTTAACACTTATTCTTTAGTTATCGTGCTCTCCTGATGCACTTTAAATATGTTTGATTTACAAAATAGTAACCAACCGTTTCCCCACACGTGTCTTCTGCTATGGTCTTGGGGAGCTCTGCAGTCCCTGAGACATTCCTAGTGCACATGTTAGTGACCACCTTGTCCTCTTGGCCCTGTTGGCTATTTGCGTGAGGTTGCATCTCTCATTTCCTTCCACTGGCCCGGGGGCTGCCTGCCTCAAAACAGTCATTGGCTTGATTGTCAAGATGCCTGTGGGACTGCATGGCCACCACTGTCTTATTTATGGAGGTTTTTAGAGCAATTATCTGCGTCTACTCTACTAGTGACTTTGGTCTTTAACCTAAGTGTTTTTATAAATTGTCTAGAATCCTCCTGGGAAATAGGAAGGATAGCAGATAGCACCCTGCTGTGTGCAGTAGGGGCACTGAGAAGTGGCTGGGGGTGCTGTGGCAGGGGGCATCTCAGTGCTGTTTCATTCTCCCCCACTCTCCCAGCCCCCAACCCTAAGCCACAATGGCCACTGGTCTTGGTGCTACAGCGCTTTCACCCCACTCACCAGTAGTGTCTGTGCCAGGTGCTGCTTCTGGCGAAGGGCCCACCAGGCTGTGGTCCTGCCCTCCCAGGGCATGCTGTCTTCCAGGGGAGCCAGGGCATCACTTGAGAGGCCATGGGCAGACTGGGCTGGGCTGCCTGCTGCAATGCCCAGGACCCTTCCTTAGAAGGGAACTGAGCCTGTCCTCCCTACCCCGACCTCAGGCTCCAGGTAGGAGGGGGAGACCCTAGCCATCACTTTCTTCCTCCCAATCAGGCTGGGAGACCCATCACCCACCTGGGGGCCTAAGGGCATTCTGGGGATCCTGGGCTGAGCTGAGGGCTCGCTTTCCTCCAGGGTACCAGCCATGGGACCAGTGCTGAGCCTCTGAGGGTCCAGGATGCACAGTCAGCAGCACCAGGAGCAGGAGGAGGCCTCGCCTGGAGCTGGCCATGGTAGGCTGCTCTAATGGACAGGGTACAGCATTCAAGGAACCTTACACCACCCCCACATTCCCTCCTTCTTCCAGGTCCACCTCGGAAAACTAGCATCTCAGGGGCAGCTTTGGTATCTCCTTATGCCCTTCTCTCTCTGCCACTGCTCCTCATGCCAAGCATACAGGGGTCCAGACCCTGGGGAATCCTGGCCCAGCAGGGGAGGATGCTCCAGGGGACAAGCTTTCTCCCTGAACCCAGGGTACAGAGGCTACCTTGCCAGCTCTGAGGACCCTCCCACTCATCCAAGACCATCCCTCTTCCTTCAAGGAGTGGAAGAAAGTTGGAGGGGAACAGACTTCAGGCCAATGGATGAGAGGATAGATGGATGGTCAGGGGAGTTCTCAGTGTGGGGGTGTTTGGAACACCGGTGCTAGGGAACCACAGTGGCAGGCCTTCTGCCCTTTTCTCTGTGGCCTGCTGTATCTCTTCCATAGTAGTTGGGGATGTGGAATGGATGTGTGGTGGTGATGGGGGCAAGTGCTTCTACCTCTTATCCCTCCCATGCCAGGGGCAGCAAGCACAAGAATAGATGGCAGAGTTGTTGGGGAGAGGAGAGGGAAAGGGGACTTTTCTGGGCATGGTTCAGGGGTGGAGGGGTTTGGGAAGGGGGAAGAGGAGCAGCATACCATGCACCCAGGATGGAGCTCGATCCAGGCGGGGAAGAGCTGAGGATGAGATGGCTCCTTCAGGCGGCTGCAGGATCCTAGCCAGATGGCCCCAATATTTATAGGCCAGGCAGCTCCACCCCCAGACTCCAGTGACGTCTTGAGAGGGGAGGGGGAACAGCTCACCACCCAACCTCCTTCCCAGACCACTCCACAAACATTCACCGGGCAGCTGCTGGACTGAGGCCACCAGCAGATGGCCCCTCCCCACCACCTTCCCAGGAGCCTCCAGGCCCGGGACTCCTGCTCCAGGCTGGCCCATGTCCTGGTCTCATCTTCCCACTTCCTAGGCTGCATCTTCAAGCTCCTGATCTTGAGGCCTAGAAAGCCCTCACAGCCCTCCCTGACCCCAAAAGAGAGCTGTGTCCTGGGTGGGGGAAATGCCTGGGGGTTCCCAGACTCCGAGCCCAGGGCTTTCCCTGGTGGACAGTGGAGGCCTAAGAGTAGGGAGTCTGGCAGGCTGTTGAGAGGTACAGGGGAGGCTTTGACCACTCTCCTCCAGAGCTTCTGTTTGCTTATTGTAGAATGTGTTGGGTGGGTGGGACAATTCACATCCACACACCTGGGCACCGGCGCTGGCTGGGTCACTCCAGATGGCTGGGTTTGGGTAGGGCAGTACCTACCCAGGAGTGGCTTCTCTCCCCCGCAAGAAGCAGGCTCAAGAGATGGGGCCCAGCTGTTGGGACAGTGCAGCATCCCTAGGACCATCAGCTGTGGGTAGAGTAATTTTGTCCCTCAAGGCTTTAACCCCTCCCCACTTGTGGATTTGGACATAGCTAGCCTGGGCCACTAAAAGTGGGCTCCTGCTTCCCAATCTGCGTCAGCAGCTCAGCTTTCCCTCACCAGCCCTCAGCCTCTGGGGGTCAGAGGCCTGTTTACAGGGTTAATAGCCAATCTCTGCACTTGGGCTGAACAGCAAATGGGAGGGCCAGGGTCAGGCTTGGCATCCTGGTGGCCAGAGTCATTAGGAGAGCAGGTGCGTCAAATCCTGTAACAAAGATGGGGGAGGGGAGGTATACTGGGCATCAGTCAGCTCTGGACACCTGGACTTCCGCTGCTGAGGCAGGATGGGCACACCTGTGAATTTCCAGACTGACTTAGCAGGGACCTGAAACGAATGTGTGGACCGTATGTTCAGTTAAATTGTTTTGGCTTAAATACATGGACTTTGTTAACCGGGTGATTTTTAGGAAAACATTTGCTTTGTGGTTTAGTGAAAATGTATCTAAGTACTAGTTTAGTTCTGGTTTGGGTTTATAGAATGCTTTTTTCAAAGCCACACCAAGGCTGGTGTTCATTTAAAAGGGGAATGGGTGCCTTTATCCTGTAATTCGATTCCAGTTTTTCCTGAAAAATCTAAACCAGAGCTAAGCTTCCTGGGGAAAGCAAGCTCTGCTCCCTTATTTTTCTGGCAACATACTTAGCTTTGTAGAAATGTCTGATGTCGTTTCCAGACTATCAACTCTGGAACTCTTGAATCCCTTTCATTAGAACATAGAAAGCCATCTGTTCACCATGGAGCTCCAGTCCTCAGGAGCTGCAGCCATGGGCTGCACGTACTCAGGTGGGAAAGCAGAGGTTCAGTGGTGAAGAAGCACTCAGGTGCTGCAGGAGCAGAGAGGGGCATCAACCCTGAGCAGGTGGCCTGGGTGAAGGACAAGGGGTGCGGCATAAGGAACAAAATGAAGGGCCAGCAGGAACCGCCGTAGATCCATGGGCCTGGAGAATGCTGGAGGGTCAGAGGAAAGGAGGGTGGGCCGCTAGGTGTGGGCAGTGGGAGGAAGGCATCTCTGGACAATCCTGACATGCGACTAGGATGCAAGGGACTTGGGATTGGAGGAGAGCTGAGGGTCCACAGAGACAGATCCAGAATCCCAACCTCTGAGAGAGGAGTTAGTGGAAGAGCAGCTGAAGGGTGAGAATAAGAGGCAGAGGGCAGCCTGTGACACAAAGGGGAAGAGACCTTAAACCCCTGGGGTTTAGTACTAGGGTGACCTTGGTGAGCAGGGATGAAAAAAGAAATGTGTGGTAATGAAGTGAAGAAAAGGGAAGAGTAAGAGTACAGGCTTTTTCAAGCAGTCTCTCATAAAGAGGGAAGAACTTAGGCCTGGGGTGGGGGACATGCTATTTATTTATTTATTTATTTATTTTTTGAGAGGGAGTCTCGCTCTGTCACCCAGGCTGGAGTGCAGTGGCGCAATCTCGGCTCACTGCAGCCTCCGCCTCCCAGGTTCCAGTGATTCTCCTGCCTCAGCCTCGCTGGTAGCTGGGATTACAGGCACTTACCACCACACCTGGCTAGTTTTTCTATTTTTAGTAGAGACAGTTTCACTAGGTTGGCCAGACTGGTCTTGAACTCTTGACCTCAGTTGATTGGCCCTGGCCTCCCAAAGTGCTAGGATTATAGGCATGAGCCACCACACTTGGCTTATTTAGTTTTCTGAGACAGGGTCTCACTCTTTTACCCAGGCTGGAGGGCAGATGAATGATCACGGCTCACTATAGCCTCTACCTCATGGGCTCAGGTGATCCTTCCACCTCAGCCTCCCAAGTAGCTGGGACTACAGGTGTGTGCCACCACGGCTGGCTGATTTTTGTATTTTTTGTAGAGACAGGGTCTTACCACATTGCCCAGGTTGGTCTTGAACTCCCAGGCTCAAGTGATCTACCCCTCTTGGCCTCCCAAAGTGTGAGATTACAGGTGTGACACTGCATCTGGCCTGCTCTTTTTTTTTGTTTGTTTGAGATAGTCTCATTCTGTCGCCCAGGCTGAAGTGCAGTGGCACAATCTTGGCTCACTGAAACCTCTGCCTCCCTGGTTCATGTAATTCTCCTGCTTCAGCTTCCCGAGTAGCTGGGACTACAGGTGCGTGCCACCACGCATGGCTAACTTTTTGTATTTTTAGTAGAGACAGGTTTAGTAGACACTGTGTTAGCCAGGATGGTCTCGATCTCCTGACCTCATGATCCACCTGCCTCGGCCTCTCAAAGTGCTGGGATTATAGGTGTGAGCCACCATGCCTGGCCTGTATTTTCAATGAAAGAGACTTGGGTATTTGGGACAGGGGAGCTTATGAAGGAAACTGCAACCCAGATGAACCCACACCCTTTAAGGACCTGCCCAGATGAAGTGAGGTCTGAGTGTGGCAGGAGATAGGGCTTTGGGTGTGTGGTGGGTGTTTCTCATTCTTCCCCTGTGAGAAACACTCACCCCTACCCTAAACCCCTTGGGTCACAACTGACTAGCTGTTGGGAGGGCATTGAAATGGTCACTCCTGCCCTTCCTACACAACTGTGCTGTGTGAGCCTCAGCACATTTTCCTTTTGGCTTATACTAGTTTCTGTTTGGTTCACCTCTCTTGCAAACATGCAAGCCCTGAGTAGAAACAGGTGTGAAGAAGGAGGCATAAAGGGATGAGAGACACATCTACAGCCTGAGGGAGATGGGGAGCAAACAGCTGTCATTCCTACTTGGAGACACTGGTTTTGCACCCAGGTGATGTTTAAAACAATGGCCCATCCATTGGCCAAATAAGCATGGACTCCAGCAGAAAACCACCCAGACCATGCTGGCACACCCTGCTCAAGGCCAGCCCTGGCAGTAGGAGGCAGCCTGCTGGGAGGCACACAGGCACCTGTGAATAGCCTCACCTGCACATTCACTGAGTGGCTTGCTGACCCAGTGCCTGTCCTCCTGTGTTGACTTGAACTTGGTCACACAGAGCATTGAAGGGTAGCTTGCAAGGAACCAGGAGCTGCTCCCCAGACTTGACACCCCTCATCAGAAATTCCTCAGATTCTGTGTTTGCCTAATTTATCCATGCTTCTCTCGAGACTAGTGAGTTTTGAGTTTACTGCCTCTTCGGACTTCCTTAGTTCCTACAGAACTGAATGTCTCTAATGACTCACGCTCATCTCCTGTAAACTTCCAGAGGGGGTCTGTTGCAGCCCTTGCCTGCTGCAGGCCTCCTGGGTCCTTTCTGCACATCGCCTTCCTTCCCACAAACATCCTGGATACGTGGTGCACAGACAGGCTTTCCTCTTGGAGCCACTCCGTGTTAAATGCTTTATCTGGACTCTGAGGCCCTCTGTAATGTGGCTCCACTGGCCTTTCTTCCTTTTTGCTCATCGAAATTCCCAGCATCCTGGGGGTCCAGTTCAAGTCCCACCTCCTCCAAGAGGCACAGCAGTGCTGACCTCTGAAAATGCCTCCATGGACCAGGCTGGGGTGCCACCTTTCACTCCAGAAGCCTCTGATGAGCCCAGGCCTGCACCAGCTCTTTAAGAAAGGCCCTGCCTGACAGCCACAGCCACCAGTTCACTCTACTGCTCTTGGTGAGCTGCTCATGTCGCTGGGAGGCAGTGGACACACCCACTCTCCCAGTGTGCCCCCAACAAAAGACCACCCTTCCCCAGCACCCCCTGTAGTTAGACATAGCTATGACCAGGTAAAAACCTACTTGCGGAGCTGATGAGTGGAATATGGGGTATGAGTGGAAATGAAAGGTGCAGATTTGGCTTCATGTCCTTAGAAATGAAGCTGCTGGCTCTCCATGCTCCTTCTTCAAGATGGAGTATAGACATGGCAGTGACCCAGCTTCAACCACGACAATGAGAACAATATTGTTAGGGATACTCGGTCTCTGGACAGGACAGACTGTTAATGAACATCCAGCTTCTTTAAGAAACAAAAGTTCAACTCTTTTGTCTAACAGGTCACTCAAAACCAAGTTGGGATCTAAGATTCCCACCATCCTGACTTCTAGATCTGAGATACAGTCACACTGTCAGGAAATGAGGACACGTATGAAAGAAAATGGAATCAATTCAACACAACACATGTGGCTATAAAGACTTATCCTGGATAGGGTAACACAATCCAGACAGCTCTGTAGCAAAGCACCACAGACTGGATAGGTCAGACTGACCTCAGCCCAAAGCTGAGCCAGTTCCACTCTCCCCTGTGCTCCCGTCTTTAAGGAGACTCAGTGAGGACCTGGGCACCTTCCATAGGGAGGGA